AAAGATTTTATTTATTTATTTGAGAGAGAGAGATAGAGCATGAACAGGGGTCGGGGAGAGGGAAAAGCAGGCTCCCTGCCAGGGACCCTGATGCAGGACTCAGTTCCAGGACTCTGAGATCATGACCTGAGCCGAAGGCAGACGCTTAACCCACTGAGCCACCCAGGCACCCCAATCACTGTTTTCTTACGTATCCTTCTTGATACAGTCTGTGATAACACAGTGTTTGTTTGTGGGTGTATTATGTTTATATTTTTTTTCATATATATAAGTGTATTTTATATATTTTTTCATACCCATATGATATATATACACGTTTAATACAGATGATACTTAACTGAATTGCATGCATTCTAGAAAGGTCAGTGTTCCATGACTCAATAGTGATAATCTAAAAAACGGGTAGGGGCGTGGAGGTAGAATTCTAAGAATGCCAGCTATTAAATGAGAAATACATATTAGAATTTGAGAAATTGTTATTTTGTCACTCTGAATGCAAGACATTCTGCAAGACAATTGGACCACACTTTCAAAAAAGCCAACAGTATGAAAACTAAAATAGTTAGGGGGGCTGTTATAGGTTAAAAGACATTAAAAAGACATAACAGCCAAATGCAGTCTCCCACAGCAGAGTGACATCCCCTTTTTTGAGGCAAAGTCTAGCGGGTCAGTGAGCAATGTATGATCAGTAGATGTGCAGTTTCAACACACTGTCTTTCCGGCAGTATTTAAATTGAAAAATAATTCGCATAATGATTTGCCAGAGGTATAGAATTTTTTGGTTATTACTAGAGAATTTGACTTCCTCATAGAAAGTATGCTGAGCACATTTCTTCAAGGGGAATCGTTTTATCTTTAAATGTTCAGAGAACAGAAACTGGACTGTGAGCTTCTCCAGGGCAGCATCCAACAGTCTCCTACTAACTTGGAATTCTTATACTCCAGTTCAAAGTGATTATAAAAGAATAGACTTTAAAAAAAAATCATAGACCAAAAAATAAATAAATAAAATCATAGACCTTGTAGGTACAGGAGTGTTATCCTTCAAGGAAGTCTTTTGAGCAGTTGTACCTTTATTTTCTCTGACTTACATTACGTAACACATTTTGGAAGTTCTCTCTCGGAATTGTGTCTCATGTGAGTCCGAGAAGCAACTAGTCCAGTGTTAGGACCTGCTGCTCTAGTTGGTTATATCTCGCTCAAAGTGGCCAGTCAGTTACAGTTACAGCCCTGTAGGAAAGGATACCAGTGAGCACAAATTCAGAAACATTTGGCCTGAATGTTGAAGAGACTCAAGACATAAGTCGTGGTCAAGGGAGAGGCGACAGAACTGAGACTACTGGAAGGGTACAGAGCGGCATGATCACTGCTGTTGACAACCTGAACCGCCTTCTTGTGGAAAAGCCATTTTACTTGCTTGTTGTGGCCCCAGGGGGATGGAACCAGGACAAATGAGCGGAATGCTCAGGGAGAACACAATTTGGCTATCAAGGATTTCCTTTTAACCTGTACTATGAAAATTGGAATAGGTTTCCCCAGGATGCATGGAACTCCCTGTCACAAGGATTGTCCACTTAAGGACAGAGCCCACTTGGGAAGGAGGCCACAAAGGATAGACAAAGATTGGAGGGATGTTTGGAGTGGGATAATTAACTATTGAGGCCCCTTCCAAACCCAAGGATGTTAATTATCCCAATAATCTAAACCTTTCTCTTTAATCCTGAAATTTTAAGTAGGTAGATGATCTTTCCAGAGCCACTTACAAGATAGCAAATATAATCTGAACTTCAGTTCACCATTCAGGGACATCTTTAAAGGGATATTAGTTACTCTACTCCGATCCTAAATGGCCTCAGATTTGGGGGGTTTGGTGAGTTCTTACGACTCCTTTCTGCAGTTTTCAGAGCCCTTCCTTTTAATTGGACTGTGTGCTCACACCTTAATGCTGTCTTGTTGCTTGTGGTGTTTCTGACTTGAATCCTATCTCTCTTATCTCTAATTTGCTGCTGCCGAATGGCTATAAGCTGAAAACTCCAGATATCCAGAGTTGTGTCTTACTGAATTAGAGTCTGGAGTGTTCTCCTCTGATTGATTAGACTGCTTCAACTTCTGGATGCAGATTGTGGCTGCAAATATGCCTCTCTTGACTTACTTCCTTCTTGGTTGATAGTAGTAGTAAATGGAAACGAGTGGATAGATGAGTCCCAAATGAGATATTTCCTGCACAAGCCGTTTCTTATGTGGAACAAGTAAATACTCTTCATTATCTGAAGTTTCTTCCATCTTGCCATAGGCCACTGATTTACAACGAGAATACCTTTGTCATTTTTAAAAGAAAAATATTTAACTATGATTCACAGAAGGTGACATTTCAGAAAGCCCGAGAACATTCCGTCAAGACAGTCCGCTTGCCAATCCAGGAATACATGGTCAGACACCAGAATGGGAAAAACTATCATTCAGAGATACTGGCCATCAATCAAGGTACTGCTGACATGGCCCACACTTAATGTGTGTTAGTGCTGGTGCTACTTCTTTGCATTGTGTGGAAGTATAAATGGCGTTTGAAGCAGGCAGCCCTGCCCTGCCACCGGGACTGGTACACTCAGATTTTATTGCATGCACTTTGTGACAGGTACTCTGGCCTTTCGGAGGTATTTTTCATTTTCTTCTTAGATCCCAACTATGTTAAAGATGGTTGAAATTTGTCCTGTGGCCTAAAATGCCCTAGATTCAACCCGTCATTGAACAGTGAATTCTATTTGTCCTTCTTCAGTCCAGGGGCATCTTGGCTGCTCCCTTCCCCCTCTCAGCCATGTCAGGGGCTCTCCTTTGTGTTCCCATTATACTGTTTCCCTCTCAGTGTCACAGCACTGTCTGTTCACAGGCCCATCTCTCTCCATGTGAGGTGAGGTCCTTGTGGGGAAGTGGGTTCACGTGTAGTGCAGAGAAGCTTGTTGAATGAAATAGTCCAGAACACCCTTTTCCTCACTTGTCCTTTACCAGTTCTTTTTCCCCCGTGTAGTCACTATGATTTCTTTTTACCCTTCTCACAGTATTTGATATCCTGTCCACATACTTTGAGACGCAAAACTGGCCTGAAGCACTGAAGAAAGGAGTTTCTTCCAGAAAAGGCTATGTTCTTCAGAACTCCGTGGATGATGGACAGCCTGAGAAGCTGCCGGAGGCAAAGCTGCTGGAGGTGTCTTGACTGAAAAGCAGGGCAGAGGCTGGCGATGACACACACTTGCCTTTACTTGTTATCTTGGATCACCACTAGAATTTAAGTTACTAAGAACAGGGACCACATTTAATGCTCTTTTCTATCTCCCATAGTGCCTAGCTCACAGCAAGAGCCCAGATATGTTGACTAAGTAAAAAGTTTACATAACAAGAAATTAGCCCTCAGCTACATGGCTTTGGATGTATTCATCTTTTATATACCTATTTGTGAAATACCTACTCTTTAGAAGTAGCTTAACAATTAAATAGTTATTGTTATATTAAGAGTTTTATTTTTACTCAACTGGCATCATAATGTTGCAGCACTTCCTCCGGCCTCCTCTGATCACGTGGATTTTCCCCAACTCAATAGTACACTCTGCGTGTTTCGCAGGATCAGCCTGTCCTAACCTACCCTGCTTTAAACCCCCATAACACTTTGTTCCCACTTGTGACTCCTACCCCGTCTCTCCTGCTCTGAGTATGGGAGTGGAGGGTTTCTCTCTTCCTTAGGGTAGCCTCCTAACAGGACACTTCATGGGAGTATCTTCGTATCCTTCTGATCCTTATACAAACTAGATTCTTCATATATATATATGTAACTAACAGGTCAAATTGAAAAGTAAAAACACAGTAGTAAGTCTAACTTAAAAACAACCAGAAAATACATTGCCTCTGATACAAGCATGGTGGATAACCTCTCATTACACAAATCTCAGTGATCCCTTTCCTCATTTCTTAGTTATATGCAGTTGCTTCAGTTACTCCAAAAACTCTTCAGTTTACTAACCAGTTTGGGTTAGTAAACTTGAAAGCTAAGCTGTTAGCAAATTCAGAGAATGTATTTTAGATCTCAACCAAAACATTACTGCTCTGCTCTGTCTCCTCCCCTTCAGAATTGAATCCTTCAGGAGCTGTTATCTTTACAAATTGGATCAGTGTCTTTTTATTAAAAACAGCCCAGTCTTCAGGAAACATCTTTAGGAATATATAATGCTCCTTGGTTTTCATCACCATGTTGAATGAGTTCTATAATCTCTGTCATCCAAGAAGGGACCTCCTCTGGTTAGGCTTCAGGGGTAACTCATACTCTCAGGGAGGTCTCTGCCCCACCAGAACCTAATCTGGATCATCTGCCAGGCTTCATTTTCACCTCTAAAGGCTTTTACCTCTAAAGGCTTTGCTTAAAACTCCAAAAGCATGGAAGAATTTCCTCTCCAACTTATCACCTCTACCATTTTTTCAAAACCTAGACATGTAGTTTTGGACTTGGCTTCAAGATCCTCATCAGTGTTATTTATAGAACAAAAAAGTGGACATACCCAAAATATCCTGTAACATGAAAATGAAATACAACTATTGCATTTTTCAATAGCACTCATGAGAAATACATTAAATGTTGTTTGAAGTGGACAGAGTACATTACAAAGTAGCATATAAAATAGAATCCTGTAATTTCAATTTGAAAAATACATAGACTATCTATAGTGTATTTGCTTCTTTTATGTATTCTACGTTTTCTTTGGTGAACATGTTTCACTATTATCAGAAAATAATTATTTTAATGCTTACTTCCAGTGTATTATAAAAGCTGCACTTTAGCAAACCTAAAGGAGTTAACAGCAAAAAAAAAAACCGTAATATTTTTAGTAAACTTTATTGTAAAGAAAAAAATACATTATTATTTTATAATGATTTTTCTCACCCACAAGAACATGGGTGGCAACTAGTAACATTTTTATAAAAATAAGGACTTTGATAAGACAATATGTACATTCACATTTTGTCTTCTGAACATTTAATGAGGAGAGGTTTCCCTGAAAAAATTTTCCCCAGGAAACCCATAGTCTCTTGGGTCAACTGACCCATAAAAAATTCCATCTAACTTTCTGCCAATCTGGAGAAGATCTGTTTTCTTTGATCTGCTGTCATGTGTTCACAAGCTTCTAAAATGTTTGCCAAAATTAAGGTCTGCTGAATGGTTTTTGCCTTAACCCATATTCTTCCATTCATCCCAAATACTATCTCCAGTGGGTAGAGTTTTCCCACTTCCTGTAGGATTTCACAATCTGGAGCCAGGAGCCTGGTGAGGAGATGGAAAGAAAACTAAATTTAAGAAAGTGGTAGGGTGTGACCCAACTCTCCTTTAAAAGAAGACTCCTAGTTTCTGGACAGTTCTCCACAGTTATTCAAAATTCCACCCTCATCCAAAAACAAGGCACATGACTTTGCTGCTCCCTTTCATCCAATCACACTTTGGATGTATTAATTCATCTTTTATATACCTATTTGTGAAATACCGTAAGTCACAACAATGGGTTCTATCCTCTACAAAGAAATCAAACTCCCTGTGTCACCAACTTTACAAAAAATGTATAAAGTTCTTCCCATATACTGTCAGAGCACCTTTTTTCTAGGCTTAAGAATCACAGCTTTTTTATTATCTTTGGTTCTAAAAGAACAGTTTAAGCTTCTTTTCCTGACCATGTAAGTTATTCCCTGGTATTAAATTCAGTACTTGGAGAGAAGCATTGACTTTCAAACCACAAGGGTGCTGCTTGGCTAATAACATGCTTCTCTTAAATTAATTGTCCAAATCAGCAGAATAAGTAAGAAAGGAAGCATCCAACACTGAGTTCTGAGGCTCAGGGGCTCTAGGAGTAAAGTTCTTTCATAGGGCACAGCTTTTGGTAGGTAAAGGTCTAACTACCTAACAGAATCTACCTCTGGGAACTATTAAATCTACCAGGACAGAATAGCAGGAGCCTTATGTGAATGTATACATAAGCTTTTAGAGCACATCAGCCCACCTGCATTTGACCCCCATTACTAGAAAAATCTGGTCATTTTGTACAATTGTAAATTGCATCTGTATGTAAATGACTTAAGAGGAGGAAATGCCAGTTTTCATATCTGGATTGAGTATAACAGCTATAAGGAACAGCAGACTTTCTGGGAGAGAAGCCCAGACTCCATACATATCAACACAAAAACTATACCACCAGATACATGTGAATTTAATGTATTCACATGAAGAGAGAATGGGACTAAATGCATGAGTTTATAACTGTGCTAAGAATGGACACTGATTTTTAACTTTGAGGACGTTCAGACATTTTTACAAAGAATCCGAATCCCAAAGATGAGTCAGCTTTCCAAGAAGGTATAATTATAAAAGAAGATAGGCGAACCAGAAAGCATCAGGACTTACTTTCTAATTAAGCCCAAAGTCACTTTAAAAAGCAGACCATCCTGTCCAATCACACCCATTCCACTGGCTCGTCCACAGCTGTCAATACAGACCATCTCCGGTTCCATATCTTTATTAGCAACCACAAATTGGCCATAGATGAGATCTCCAACCTAAAATGATAATTTGAAAACAGTTCATTTCCTCTCAGCAAATCACTCCCCCCCTCCTTTTTTTTTTTTTTTTGGTTAAGATTTTATTTATTTGAGAGAGTGCATGAGCAGAGGGGAGAGGGAGGGGGAGAAGCAGACTCCCCACTGAGCAGGGAGCCTGACTTGGGGCTCCATCCCAGGACCCTGAGATCATGACCTGAGCCACCCAGGCGCCCCTCCGCAAATCATTCTATGGTGCTGCTACGGTTCCTTCTCATAGGCAGCAATGCCAGCTATTTCTGCAGCTAACTGACTAACTATCCTCCAGAATACCCACACTCTGGAGTTGAGTCTTTAAAAAACGCAACATGAAGGGACGCCTGGGTGGTTCAGTAGGTTAAGCATCTGACTTTCACTTGGGTCATGATCATGGTGTCCTGGGATTGAGTTCCACATCCGGCTCCTTGCTTAGCAGGGAACCTGCTTCTCCGGCCTGCCGCTCTTCCCACTTGTGCTCAGGCTCTCTCTCACAAATAAAATCTTAAAAAAAAAAAAAAAGGAAACATTAAGGTGTGTACCCTCTTCAAACTGGGAGCTATCTCAAAGACAACATCCTCTAGGGTTACACCATCTGATATAGTAACCACTACCCACATGTAGTTATTTAAACTTATATTTAAATTAATTAAAGTTAGATATTTGAAATTCAGTTCCTCAACTGCATTAGCCATATTTCAAGAGCTCAACAGCTACATGTGGCTAGTGACTACCATACCAGTGAGTGTGGATGTAAAACACCAGCATTACAGAAAGTTCTAGTAGATAGCACTATCCTAGGGAATTACAGAAGATTGGAAACTCTCGGCATGCAAATTTTTCAAAGTAAAATGAACAATGGCAATTCACTGATACTTCATGCAAAACTTAAAAACCTCAGATAGGGTGCTAGTGGCTCAGTCAGTTAAGCACCCAACTCTTGATTTTGGTTCAAGTTATGATCTCAGGGTTATGAGATCGAGTCCCACAGAGGACTCTGCCCTCAGTGTGAGATCTGCTTGAGAGTCTCCCTCTCCCCACTTTCTCTCGCTCTCAAAGAAATAAAGAAACACCTCAGAGCTGAACTTCAAAATGATGAAACAAAAGGAATAGAGGAGAGAGAACTTGTTCTGTTCTGTATCTATTATTCCTTGATGACTAGCTACTAAAGAGAAACAAAAACATTCTTTGTATTTCAGAAGCATTTGGTCTTGGAGGACACTGGGGATGTACATATAAATAACAAAGTTCAGGGGCACGTGGGTGGCTCAGTGTGTTAAAGCCTCTGCCCTTCGGCTCAGGTCATGATCCCAGGTTCCTGGCTCTCTGCTCAATGGGGAGCCTGCTTTCCCCCCACCCCTGCCTGTCTCTCTGCCTACTTGTGATCTATGTCAAATAAATGAAAAAAATCTTAAAAAAAAAATTATAAATAAGAAAGTTCATTTAAGACTTTGTAAGTGCTAAAGTTATAAGAAAGGTGACTGTAGATGAAGAATGGTTTTACAATGGTGGTGGTGTTTACCCTTGTTCTCAAAAAATAAGCATGAGTTCCAAAGGCTAAGGGGAAAAAGCAATCCAGATAGAGGCAACAGCTTGAGGAAAGGTACAAGAGCAGTGACTTAGGAATTCAGTAGTGCTATTGAATAGTTCGGGGAGGGGGGACAGTTCAAGCATGGCTACATAGAAGATATAATTGTAGATGGGGGAAAGACTTCTGGAGTATAATGCCAATAAAATCTGTAGGCTTCAAAGAAACTTTTCTTTTTTTTTTTCTTTTTTTTTTTTTTTGAGAAAGGGAATTGTTTGAGGCTGTCGGCTCTCAAAAGCCTGGATGGAAGAACAAAAGTATACAAGCAGGGATGTTAATGAGGTCACTGACCAATTCTGGTCAAGAAGTAGTTAAGGTCTGGGGGTGTCTGCATGGCTCAGTAGGTTAAGCTGATGCCTTCAGGTCAGGTCATTATCTTAGGGTCCTAGGATCGAGCCTCAAATCGGGTTTCCTGCTTGGCAGAAATTCTGCTTCTCCCTCTCCCTCTGACTATCCCCCTGCTCGTGCTCATGCTTTCTTTCTCTTTCAAATAAATGAAATCTTGAAAAAAGCAAAAGTAGCTAAGGTCTAAACTTACAAAATGGGATATACATGGATGAATGAATAGAACATCAGAGATAGAAACAAAGAGGATCAGTAAAGATTAAGCAACTAAAGACAAATAAAATGTTAATGAGAAGGGGCAAAGAAACCATCAAATTTCTGGGTGGACAAAGTGTGGCTATGCTACCTGAAAATTCCAAATAGGAAAACCTGAGGTATCAAGACTGCCCCTCTGTCAGCTCCAAGAAGAGATTATTGGGAAATAGGGATGTGACTTAAGTCCTTGAGATGCCAGTCCCAGGACTTAACAATCAGGCTGCATGGCTGGCTAATATGGCGATCTGCACTGCTTACCCCTCCTACCTCCCCAAGCCTATGGCTTACTTCCTTGTCCAGTGAATATGGACATAACATAACAACAGAGGGAAGAAATATAACCTTTCAACTCAGTAGACACGAAACCACCCCCAATATAGCCAATGTAAAGTAAGTATGTGACTCTGGTCCCAGGGCTAGAGCACTGGAAGGAACTTGTGGAGCCTGAAGTGATTACACAGATGTTCAGAGATCACCCCAACTGGGAAAATAGGTCATGCTTAGGAGACAATTCAGGTAGGCTTCTGGATATTGTTATACTTTTCCTATTTTTGAAACCAAAGGCTCCCATCATTACCTGCACATTGGGTCTGTTTCTTTTAGTTGCACCTTCAAATGCCAAGTAAGACAAAGATGCTGGTTCACTCCCTCCAACATCCACTTTGAATATATCTCCAGATTTAGCTGTCACTATGCCAATCACATGGTCTCCTTTCACTGGGACATACTACAGAAGAAAACAGAATGAAAAAACAGCCATAAATGATAATCATTTCCAAGATATCTTGGAAGGTATCTTCAGGAAGTTCTTAGTGGTTACTTTACTGTCATTAGAGTTATTTAGAAAATATTTTGAAATTCAAGTTTACAAATTAATACAAATCAACAAATCTGATCATGTTACTCTCAGTAAAACAATCACATCATTAACTCTTTACAGCTTTAATACTCTGTTCATTTCAGCCAGTATTCCCATACATCTTGCATTCTTATCAGAAAGTCCCTAGAGCTTCTGCTGGCATAAGTCGTCCAGTCGTACAGGGGATCCTACAACCAAAGAAGCCTATTTCACTGTTAGACAGTTTTCCCTATATTAAAGTCCTTATTCTAAGAGAAATTGAACTCCCTGGAACATCCACTCACTGAGTCTGGATTTCTGCCGTTTGGGACTCCAAAAGATAGGTCTGGTGCTCCCTGGCCTTTGAGATTTTGACTGAATGACCGTATATTACAATCCTTAAACCCCTACACGCCAAGATTTCTAGTCTCCTTTCTCTCCTGGTCGCCCTTCTCAGGCTACGTTTCATTTGTTCACCGTGCTCTAAAGGGGATGCAGAGGAAGGCACATGACTACGGTGTCTCTAGACTAGCATTAACAGAGAAGAGGTCCACGGCCCCACCCCCGCCTCTTCCCAGAGCGAGGATATTAGTCCTCTCCGGAGTCCCAACTCACCCGTTTCTGCTGCGAATCCACCCAGTAAACGCCACCGCCGCTGCTGCCGCCGCCGGGCTCCTTGTGACGGAGGCGGCCGCACTTGGTGACCAGCAGGCGGTCGCCACTGCGCCGCAAGCCCGGGCCGCACACAACGCGTCCCCGGGAGCGCGTCCCCGCATTCAGGCGCAGCGGTCGCTCCCCAGCACCTCCTGGGCCTTCAGCGTCCTCCTGCTCGGGCAACAGCAGTTCCTCACCCGGGAGTACCACCTGATCTAGCATGGTGCGCGCCGCCCGCGCCCTGTCTCCCGCAATGGATTCCGTCGTAACACCCCCGGCCTCAGCCATATCGGGAGCCACCAAACACAATTTTCCGCTTCCTCTTCCGCGTCCAATCGCCAGCTTGCCCACGGCTTTCCGTTTCCGGTAGTAGCGATCTATCGGTATTGAACCCACGTCTGTGAAACTTGATCTCTGTGCGCTGGGGTCCTGGCGAGGTGGTTATGATTATGACTCTCGCCCGTCTCCCATCTTGCAGCCTTTCTGCAGAACAGTACGAGAAATACGGCTTAAGGCGGTGGCAGATCCCTCACTTCCGCTGTCTCGGGTTGCACCGCAGGATTCTAAGACGCTCCTACGTATGATTCCGTGGGAACTTTGAGGACTGAGCAGAGGGGCTTGGGGATTGAGCCTTTCCTTCCGACTGCGCCCTAAGAAGGAAAAGTATTTTCCTTTCTCAAAATAAAACCTTTTTTTTTTTTTTTTTTTGGTGTTTGCTAGAGAAGATACCTATTCACATTGTGGAAAACAAAGAGAAGAATACAAAGAAAATAAAAGGTGATAGTCTTGCCCCCCATTTGTCTCCTGCTAGGCTGTGAGCTAGTTCTCACTTTGTACCCCAGGGTCTAGCACCTAAATAGGTAGTACCTGATGAATGAATGCATATTAACATTTTGCTGTGTATTTCTCCGCAGACTTTCCCCCTGAAAATATACACATACACGTGAGCATTTCCACATAATTGAGCTACCCCTACAAAGCCTGGAGAAATCAGTAACTGCAATTAAATCCTTGCAGCTACATTCCCTGAACCATGCTAGTTGCCCAATTCCAATGGAATTCTATGAATTCCAGATTCATAGCACATCGGGACTGCTCTTACTTGAAATCACTGTTTTCCTCTGTACACTAGCATCTCCAGTTAGCGCTTGGTGAGATTCCGCAAGAGGGTTGGCTGTTTCTGGGGACTGGGGAGGCCCTGGCTTTGCCTATCTCTTTGACGCTCTGGCTTTTCAACATGAATTTTTAGATTTGAGGGACGTTTAAGACAGATCATCTCTAACTTACCTTCCAAATTTGGCAAAATGCTGGCGAGCCAACTGAGTAAGAAAGTATTAAGAGAACAACTGAAACGTAGCTTTTGCTGTTTTGCAGTCAGATTGTTGTAGGAGACTATCTTGATCGGTTACCCTGACAGGAGGGATGGTGCAGATTTTTTTCCCTCCTCCCCACTTCGACCCAGCTCTATAGGACCTGCAAACAGTAGGTATTCGATGACCAACACCGCCTGAATCGTGGCTGGCCCAAGGCCATGCCCAAAGTCGGCTCAGTGGCCTCCGGTCTGGGCCAAGCAGAAAGAGGGGTCGGGAAATGATCCCAAGATTGTCCCTTGCATACCCCATGCTGATAGAGAAGTCTTTGGGGAAAAGTTAGCCCAAAGCTGGCAAAGTAAGCCTTTAAAGCCCACCACCTTTTGGGGGCGGCACGTGAATACCGCCTGGCACATTCCCAAGTCAACAAAAGAAACCTGAGGTCCAGAGGTGGGCAGTCGCCGGGAGACCGGAAGCTGGGGCCGGAAGGGGAAGGCCTCAGCTCCGAGGGGCGGGCCCAGACGGAGGGGCGCGTGGGAAGGCCGTCTTTCCTTTGAGCCGCGTGCTGTGTCGTGACTGTGCTTCGCTGCTTCGGTGCCTTGCAGCCACTGGTGAGTACATGGCAGGACTTGGCGTGGCGGTCAGGGCCTGGGGATTGCGGAGGTCCGCCAGCGTGCAGGGGAGTGGAGAGCCTGGGCCTTCGGCGAGTGTGGGAAGACCTTAACGCTCCTTGCTGTGACCACGGACTTCCGCGACTTGAGGTTCAGCCCCGGGGTCTGGTTGGGTCGCGGTTACGAAGTTCACGTTTCCCAATGGCGCGTGCTGCTATTTCTGGATGCAGAAGTGGCCGTGGGACTGGGGAATGCAGAGGAGGGTGGGCCCATGCAGTTAATGCAGGCCCTCTCGGGTGGAGAGCAAGCTTAGCTGTGGGCCCCGGTGTCAGGGCTTCCCACCAGATGGGCCCAGGTGTGTTAGGCCCATTCCCTGTTTGGGGACGGCCCAATTAGAGCCGAGCTGTAAGGGTGGTGGTGCCCTCAATTGCTTGTGGCGCACACCTCCCCACCTGCAGGATTTTCTAACGCAAAATTACCAGATCGATACTTGGAAAGGTTGGGCTGGACCGGAGCCTTCCAGACGATTTCCCAAAACTTCCTCCTTAGAAATCTTTGCACCTTGAGAATTGTTGCTTTTCTTTGTTGACGGGTGAAATTAGGAGGTTTTGTTTAGTTTTTTTAAGTAGGGTCCACGCTGGGCGGTGGCTTGAACTAGACCCTAAGATCAAGACCTGAGCCGAGGGCACCTGGGTGGTTCAGTCGGTTAAGCCTCCAACACTTAATTGTGGCTCAAGTCATGATTTTAGGATCCTAGAATCCAACCCTGCCTGGGACTCACTGCTCGACGGGGGTTTGCTTCTCCCTCTGCCTCTCCCCCACCCCCAACTAGTGCTCTCTCTCTCTCTCAGTCTCATACATACATACATACATACCAAAAAAAAAACTTAAAAAAAAAAAAAAAAAGACCTGAGATTAACAGTTGGACACCCAAGCCATTGAACCACCCAGGCACCAGGCGAGGGCAGGGGAAGGGGTTGTTTTTTCCTCTCAATCAGTAACACTAGTTGAGCATTTGTTCTGAGTCAGGAAGTGAGCTGAGGAGGCACCTGAATCATGGCCCCTGCCCTGGAGGAGTTTGCTCTCTCCATATGAAAATATCAAGGGTTATCGTGGCTGTAACAACCTGATTAGGGTGTCAGTCCCAAGGGTAGAGAAGATGAAATGGTTACCACTCTGTGGGGAGGAGGATGTCCCAAAGAATGGGTTATTTGAGTGAACCTTTAAGATTTTTTTAGTCTTGGGGCACCTGGGTGGCTCAGTGGGTTAAAGCCTCTGCCTTCGGCTCAGGTCATGATCTCAGGGTCCTGGGATCAAGCCCCACATCGGGCTCTCTCCTCAGTGGGGAGCCTGCTTCCCCCTCTCTCTCTGCCTGCCTCTCTGCCTACTCGTGATCTCTGTCAAATAAATAAAATCTTAAAAAAAAAAGATTTTTTTTTTAGTCTTTTTCAAATTACAAATGAACTACATGCTGATTTATATACAGAAATTGAGAGTCCATGTAAGTATTGTTAATGTCTTTATTCAAGTAAAGAATTTAATTGTAAATGCTTACAATTATCACTTACAAGTGAATCTTCTTGCTACCAGTGTTTTTAATCACAAATAATCATGGCAAGCAAAAACTAAGGAGAGCTTTAAAGAGTATGAGAATTATTGATGTAAGGAACAGCCATTATGCCTAGTAATGAGATAGCACATCTGAGGAAGTCTCTTCCTGCTCCTGACTGAGACCTTGTTGGAGAGGACATGGTCATGTCTCCTTAAATAGTAAGAAGTCACTGGGAACCTGTGCCCGTGGAACGTACTTAGAATTCCACCCTCCAGGGGTGCCTGGGTATCTCAGTCGGTTAAGTATGCAGCTCAGGTCAAGATCTTAGGGTCCTGGGATCAGCACCAAGTCAGGTTCTGTGCTCAGCAGAGAATGTGCTTCTCTTTCTCTCTCCCCCTGCACCCCTCCCCCTGCTCCTGTGCACACACACTCTCTCTGTCTGTCTCTCTCTTAAAATAAATAAATCTTGAAAAGAAATCCACCCTCCAGAACTTGCTGGAACTACTAGAGTTCTGTTGATAGCTATTCATGGAGGACTATCTCTTGGAAGCCTCTGTTACAAAACTGCCTGTTAGGGTGCTAGGGAAAACTGCTGGCTGCTGGGTGCTTCTGGCCACCAAGAGAAGCAGGAGTGGATGCTGGAGAAGCTGCCATGTTGCAGGAGTATACCAGAATAAATACTGGAACCAGTAAGCAAACCCTGTTCCTCCTGAAATGCTTCTTCAGGGCCATCTACCTACAAAACTTGTCTTTATGTTAGATAGCAAAGAAATAATGTTTTAAAGACTCGGATCCATTTTCTCAGTGCAGTAAGGGTGAGTTTAGAGCATTGTGGCAGTACACTGATAACTGGCTCGTGGACTCATGAAGCTGTATGATCAGCAGACTTGTCAGTAACAGCAATAAGGTAGAATCTGCCCAGGTTCAGATGGCTTCATTGACAAATTCTACCAAACATTTAAAGAATATCCATTCTTCACAAATTCTTTCCAAAAAAAAAGAAGAGGAAGGAACGCATATCAACTCCTTCTATATGAAGCCAGGATTACCCTGGTATCAAAACCAAAGATATCACTGGAAAAGAAAACTACAGATCAATATCCCTTATGAATATAGACACAAAATCCTCAACAAAATACAAGCAAACTGAATCCAGCATTATATAAAAAGGATTATACACTATGACCAAATGGGATTTATCCGAAGAATGTAAACATTTGAAATCAATTAGCATACAATACCAAAGGACAAAATCACACTATCATCTGAAAAGATAAAGTATTTTTAAAAGTTCAACACCCTGTCGTGATGGAAACACTCAATAAACTAGGATTAGAAGGGAACCCCTTCAGCCTAATACAGGGCATCTACAAAAACCTACAACTAATATCATACTTAGTAGTGAAAGACTGAAAGCTTTCTCCCTAAGATCAGGAAGAAAAGGATGTCTGCTCTCTCCACTTCAATTCAACATTGTACTGGAGGTTCTATCTGAAACAGTTCAGCAAGAAAAAAAATAAAAGGTATCCAGACTGGAAGGAAGAAGTAAAACTATATCTTTTTGCAGGTGATATGATCTGATATATAGAAAACTCTAAGGAATCCATTAAAAAAAGCTGTTAGAACTAACAAATGAGGGCGCTGAGGTGGCTCAGTAGGTTAAAGCCTTTGCCTTCAGCTCAGGTCATGATCCCAGAGTCCTGGGATGGAGCCTCACATTGGGCTCTCTGCTCAGCAAGGAGCCTGCTTCCTCCTCCTCTCTCTCTATGCCTGCTTGTGATCTCTGTCAAATAAATAAATAAAGTCTTTAAAAAAAATACAAAAAAATGAACTAACAAATGAGTTCAGCAAGGTT